GGAAAAATGCCTCAGCTACCCCACAGAACTTGGTGGGGGGGGTGCAGACGTGCTGATATCTCAAAAATAACAAGTGATAGAGGCGGAAGCGGAACTGATGTGCGAGGAATTTCCCTGAAGAGCTTCGAGTTTTCCAAAGGCAAAACTCTGTTTAACAGAAAGGGGAATTTCAAACAAGCATTCCCACTCCTCTCTCATCCTCTGCTTGTGGATTCATGAGAGAATCATGGGATGGTTTGGGTTGGAAGGGACCTTAAAGGTCGTCTAACTCCCCCTAATTAGAGACACCTAATTTAGGGTGGCACAGACTCACAGAGGGCTTTGATCCAACCCTCCAATAAATTTGCTAAATTTGAAGTTATATTTGGGATTTCAGGGCCATACTCAGTTAAATTTTGAGCATCTCAAGGGGTGGAGGCTGTCCGGCCTCTCTGGGTTCCTGCTTCAGTGTTTGACCTCCCTTCCTCTAATTTTCTCCATTTTACTAATTTGAATTTCTCCTTTTTGCATCATTTCTCTCACCTCTCTTTTCTTTTGGTGACCTTGAATGTGTAGCAAACCGGTATCTCCCCAGCTGCTCTTTCACATCACACTTTTAAACCCAATTTTATCACAACTGACTCAATTCCACGGGACTGATGCTGATATTCAATATTTAGGACTTATTTCTTACCGCCTAAAAATGAAGAAATGGCCCTTAGTGCTGTTTCACAGTGGCATTTAGAAGATATTGGAGTATAAAACTAGTCCCAGATTTGACCCTGGTGAAGCAGTTCCAGTTTTTCCTGGTTATCCCCAGGATTGGAAGGAGAGGAACCCTCTTAGAAGTGAAGAATCATGACTTTAGCGGGATAATCTCTGGGCTCCAGCTGTGCAAATCATGGAAAAATAAAAGGGATAAGATATGGATGGAAGGGAAGTTGTGAGAATATTCTGTCCCTGTCCTGTGTTATCACCCGGGGCTTTAAACTGGGTCTAAGTGCTGGAAGTGTAAAAGGGGGAGTCTAAGAGTGCTGGAACAGGAGGCTTTGGAATCATGGAATCATGGAATTGTTGAGGCTGGAAAAGACCTTTAGTATCACTGAGTCCAGCACTGCCAAAGGCCAGCACTGCCTCCTGTCCCCAAGTGCCACATCTATGGGGATTTTAAATCCCTCCAGGGATGGGGATCAACCCCTGTGCTGGGCAGCTGGGCCAGGGATGGAAAACCCTTTCCATGAAGGAATTTTCCCAATATCCAACCTACACTTCAGGCTATTTCCTCTTGTCCTGCTGATTGGTTTTTTTTTGGGGAAAAGAGCCTGACTTCCTCCTGTCCCCCTCTCCTGTCAGGGAGTTGCAGAGCCAGAAGGTTCCTCCTGAACCTCCTTTTCTCCAGGCTGAGCCCCCCCAGGAGATCCACGAGCTCTTTTGAGGGATCTGTGTTCGGGAACTTCTGTATTTTATGGATGAATCACCCCCTGGGAATCATCACGTGCTGACCAGAAACTCCACGTTCGATTTGATTTCCTGGGAGTGTGTTTGTGGGGGAGGAAGGGGCTGGAAAATCCCAAACCCACCTCGTTTTACCCATCCCCGAGGCCGGGTTGGAGCGCAGCTGCACCTCCTGTTTTCCTCCTGGGTTGTTTCTCATCCTAAAGGCCTATAAGCACTGGGAGCTGGGAAATGATTTCCATCCTGTTTTCCATAAATCCCTTCTTTTATGAAGGGTCTCGAGTCAGGGCTAGACATTAATTCTCGACGTGTTTACAAATATTTGCTCAGGAAAAGGCTGAGAGCAACGTCCAGGACGGGGCTTCTGACGCATATTCCCCCTGTTTCAGTCCTTTGTTCAGGAAAACCTGGAAACAAGGCAGTTTGTTGTACAGGGAACAGGCGCTGCCCTTGCATTCCAGGAGCCTCTCGCTGCCGTGGTGGAGTGGTGGGAGGATGAGAAGCTCCCAGTGAACCCAAAACCCACACACAAAAAAAAAAAAACAAAACCAAAAAAAAAAAGGTGGTTTCGGGGTCGTATTTTTACGGGAGGTGAAGGAAAAGCTCCGATCTGGAGGGCTGATAATTGCTCTGCACAAAGGCAGGGGTATGTGCAACACGTTCCCGAGGGGAGCTCTGCCCTCAGAGGGGTTTTTTCCTTGGCTCTGCTCCCCTGGATCCCTCGGCACGGAGGGGTTTGGCTGCGGAGAAAGGTGTCTCATCTCTTTTCTGGTTTGAAGCACTGGGTGACTTATGATCTTCTGGTTTCTCCTTCTTGTGGAGGCTTGATCGTCTCCTCACAGGCTCCCAGCAAGCCACAAGAGGTGTTTTGGGAGCAGGGGTTTGTCTTTTTGCCTTTAAATCTCCCCTCCTGGCTTTACAGCCCCCAGCTCGTCTCACCCCGGCGTTGGAACCCCGTGAAATCCTCCGGGATAAAAACTTGTTAGGGAGAAACAGAGCCTGAAAAGCTGTCTTGTTCCATCTTGTAATGGTTTCAAGTATTAACCAAAGGACAGGGGTGGGTCTGCGTGGCAGGCTCTGCTTTTAGGGTTAACTCGGGGGTGCCACAGGACGTGTTTGCTGTGGGTGCTGGAGGGGGAGGTTCATCATGTTTTTGTCTGTAGACTCTGGAGGTGTTCCAGGCCAGGGAGACACCTGGGCCAGTGGAAGGTGCCCCTGCCCAGGGCAGGGGGTGGAACTGGATGGTCTTCAGGGTTCCTCCCGACCCAAACCATTCCATGGTAACCACGGGTTGTGTTTGATTGCTCCCTGGGGAAGGTGGTGGTGTCTCCCTCTTCACGGAGTCACAGGCAAAGGTTGGAAGGAACCCCTGGAGATCACCTTGCCCAGCTGCCCACAGAGCAGGCTCAGCTGCACTGGGGTTGTTCAGGTCCATGCCCAGGTGGGATGGAACTCCCCAGGTTCTCTGGGCAGCCTGTTCTAGTGTTGAATGAAACAACCCCAGTGAGAAGGTGTTCCATGGAAATTCCCGTGTTTCAGTTTGTCCTGTTACCAGGAGAAGAGGCTGGCTCTGCCCTCCTGGTTTCCCCCAGTGAGAAGGTCCCTCAGAGCCTTCTCTTCTCCAGGCTGAGCAGTCCCACATCCTCCTGCCATATTCCACATTCTCGCATCCCTGAATATCCCCGTGGCCCTGCTCTGGGCTTGCTCCAGCATTGCCTGTTGTGGTGGTGACCCCAGAACCCCCAGGTCCTTTCCTGCCAAGCTCCTTCCCAGGCCATTCCTCCCCAGGGGCAGAATTTGGCATTCCTTGAACTTCATGAGGTTCTGTTGGGCCCTTTCTCCCCCCTGCCCAGGTCCCTGGGAACGGCAGAACCATCGGGTGTGTGGGCACTACATGGAAACTGTTTCTCCCCATGGCCTACAGTGGATTGGTGTCCCCTTGGCACAGCTCTGGGTCACAGTAATCTTCCCAATGGGACATCTCTTGGTTGATGAAGCCTTCCCACTAGGATGAATCTTTGTATCCCTCGACTTGCCCTTGGTGTGTCTTGTCTTCCCCCTTGGCACAGCCCTTCCGCAAGTCTACCTTTAGTGAATTCATGGATGACGCCGAGTTGGGTGGGAGTGTTGACCTGCTGGGGGGCAGGAGGGCTCTTCGGGGGGACCTGGATCAATGGGCTGGGACCAGGGGGGTGAGGCTCCAAGTGCAGGACCAAGTTCCAACCAAGTCCTGCACTTCGTCCACAACGACCCCCCAAAAGCTCTGGCCAGGGGCAGAGTGGCTGGGAAGCCGCCTAGGGAAAAAGGGCCTGGGAGTGCTGCTGACAGCGGCCTCAAGCTGTGCCAGAGCGGGTTTAGTTGGACACCAGGAGGGGTTTTGTAAAGGAAAGGATGCTGTGGAACACTGGGGCAGGTTTCCCAGGGCGGAGGTGGAGCTCCCATCCCTGGAGGTCTGCGAGGAGCGGCTGGGCCGTGGCGCTCCCGTCGCCGAGGGGGTCGTTCGGCCGCGGGATGGACTCGGATGATCTCACAGAGGTCTCTTCCAGCTTATTTCTTTCTTGGAGCCTTCGATTTCTTGTGGCCCTGGGCCTCCTGCTCCTCCTGGGCCGGGTTTGGGAAGTTGGCTTCCAGCCACAGCAGCACCCTCTGCTGGCTCGTCATGCGGCCCAGCGTCCGCAGCCCGGCCTCGGTCAGCGGGGCCCCCGTCACCCAGGCCGAGTCCTCGCTGTGCTCCGAGGGGGGCCCCGGGCTCTGCGTCCCCGAGGCCGTGCCCGGCTCCCCACGAGGGCGCTGGGGGGTGTCCCGGCTCCGGGTGGCCGCGGGCGGTGGGTGCTGGCGGGCGCTGGTCCCGGGGGCCGGGCTGGCGGGCTCGCTGGAGGAGTCGTCCTCTGCCCCCCTGGGCCGGGGCATGAATGGCTGCCGGGGGTGGGCAGAGCAGAGAGGATGAGGGGCTGCGGGCCTCGCTCCCACCTCCCTGCCAGCAGCTCCTGGGGTTGGGGTTGGCACTGGGGAGATGTTCATTCTCGTCTCCCTGCGCCTTTGTGATGGCTCCCGGTGGCCCCAGAGCTCTGTGGGCTGGGCAGCCGTGGCAGCCCGATCCCATGGAGGGAGGGATGAGGTCTGGCCCTGACTGCCCTGTGTCCCACCTGTGGCTCCCTGTGCCCACCTGTGGTCCCCTGCATCCCACCTGTAGTTCCATCTGTCCCACTGTGGTTCCCTGTGTCCCACCTGTGGTTCCCTGTGTCCCACCTGCACGTTCCTGTGTCCCACCTGAGGTTTCCTGTGTCCCACTTGTAGTTCCATCTGTCCCACTATGGTTCCCTATGTCCCACCCGTGGCTTCTTGGGTCCCATCTTCGTTTCCCTGTGTCCCACCTGTGGTTCACTGTGTCCCACCCATGGGCAGAAGGAGCCTTTGGATAAAGGAACAGCTCAAGCCTGTCTCCATCTCCTATCTCAGTTCTGTGTATCCCCATCCCAGCTCCATGTGTTCCCATCCAGTTTTGATGTGTCCCCCATCCCATCTCCATGTGTCCCCATCCCATCTCTGTGTCCCCATCCCATCTCCCTGTGTCCCATCTCCCTGTGTCCCCATCCCATCTCCCTCGTGTCCCATCCCTCACCTCATACCGTCTCCTCTGGTTTGCCTTCACTTTGGTGGGATTTGCCCTCTCCGCCATCCCTGTTGTCCAGAGGGATCCCGGGAGCCGCTGCCTTCTTGGGGGGGCTGGGGGGGCTCCCCTGGGAGCAGCACCCCCTGGATCTGTGCCCCCAAAACCCCCCGGGGTCACAATGGGCTCTGGGGACAGCACCACCCCCCCCGTCACAAAGGGACATCCCAGCACTCGTGGCAACCATGGAACCATCCAGAACCACTTGGAGCTGCTTGGAGCTGGTTGGAACTGGCTCACGGGGCAGCCCCTGCTCTCCCCTCCCAGCCCCATCCAACCCAAGCCTCCCAATTTCCCCCTTTGATGCCCATGGAGACCCTCCCTCCAGGCTGTGGCTGCCACTGGATCCCTCTGGATCACGACTGACTTTGCTCTGGGCCTTTATTTTTCTCCCAAAAGACATCATAAATTCTTAGTTTGGGGCTTTTTGGCTGGTTTTGCTCTTGTTCCTCAGGGAGGGACGTGCTGGGGGGAAATGTTCTGCCAGTGGGTGCTGGGGGTGGGTCTCATGTGGGTTTCTCCTGTCACATCCAACTCCTGGGAGCAGGGAAGGGTCTCAAAATCATGTGTTTTGTGGGATTAGAGCAGCAAAGACTCGGCAAGTCAGCGCAGTTCAGGGTGAAAATGTGGAGTGAGACATTGGGAAGAAATCAGGGCCTTGGGGGTCTTTTCCAACCTGAGTGATGCTGTGGATCTGTGACCCAAAGGGACCTCCCACAAAAACACGTGGCTGTCCAGCACTTGGGCTGCAGGGAATGCCAGAGCCTGTCCCAGGCACTGGGGGGTGGCAGAGGTCACACCTGGCTGAGGTGGGACCAGGTGGGTGATCTGCTCAGCCCGGTGCTGGAGCTGGAAGGGAAAGGAATACCAGGGAGTGTGAGAGAGAACCATGGAAAAGTGGAGGGCCCTTAAGATCATCCAGTTCCACCCCCTGCCATGGCCTCCTCTGGACTCTCTGCAGCAGCTCCACGTCCTTGTGCTGTTGTTGCCAGGGCTGGAGGCAGCTCTGCAGGGGGGTCTCACAGAGGGGGCAGAGGGGCAGAATCCCCCCCTGTCCTGCTGCCCACGCTGGGGGATCAGCCCAGGGCACGGGGGGATCTGGGCTGGGGCATCTCCAGCCTCTCACCCACCAACACCCCCAAATCCTTCTCCCAGGGCTGCTCTCCATCCCTTCTCCTCCCAGCCTGGATTTGTGCTGGGATTTCACTGACCCAGGTGCCAGACCTTGTGCCCTTGGCATTTTTGCACATCATGGGGTTCATACAGTCCCACCTCTCCAGGTGCCTCTGGATGCCCCATCCCTTCCAGATCCCGCTCAGGCAGTGACCACCACTCTCCCAGTGCCAGCCAAGCTGTGGCTTCCACATGTGGCACGTGGAGACCCCTTGGAATCCACAGCAGCGCTTTTATAGGGAACTGCACATTTGACTCATTTTCTGGGGATTAAAGCCTTAAAAAGGGGCAAACCCCAAGTTGCCAAATGTGGAGAAGTGCTCCTAGGACACGACCTCTTTCCCAGTAGGGAGGGTGTATCCAATCCTGGATGATGCTGCTCCTCGGCGGCGCTGGGAACAGGAGGTTTATTTATCAGTTTATCTTGTTTTGATTTCTCGGTGCTCCCCGACCATCCCCCCCGCCTTCTGCCACGGCAGAACAAAATAACAAATATGCAAATGTAGTTTTCCAACCCAAACAATTTTTCCAGCAGAGTTGGAGGAACGAGCTGCATTTGGGCTGGAACGGGGTGTGTGGGATTGGTCCTTGTCTGCTCCATCCCGTGCCTGCCCTTGGAATCAGGGAGGGTGAGAACAAAGACTTTGAACTCAAATAATCTGCAGAAATATCCCCAGTTTGGGATCTTTTCCTTCCCTGTGTGTCTGCAATTAATGCAAAGCCCTGTCTGCCGGTGATTTTTGGCTCTCTGGGAGGATCCACGTGGCTTAAAGCACCCGACACTAAGCAGACTGTGGGAAATGGGGGAAATTTAGGGCAAATTGGGCTCTCCTCCCTACATTTCACGTCCTTTCCCTCCCTCTGGGCCTTGCCCTTCATCTTCCTCAAGGACTCCTCCTGCCTTCTTGAATTGAGGTTATTTCCCCCCCTCCTAATTGATGGGAGCCCTGACAAGAGCTGATTAGCTGTGGTGGTGAGGAGGGGTGTTGTGTCCTTCCTCACGGAGCTTGTGACCGAATTCCAGCGCTTCCTTCCTTCCTCGAGCCCGGAGAATGAGCTCTCTCCTGCTCCTCCTCCTCCTCCTCGTTGCCTCCCCGAGGTTTTACGCACGGTGGCCTCGCATGGAAGACCCTGTGGGCTTGTCCTGGATATATATTTGTATCTCTGGCAGCTCATTCATGATGCAGTTTTAATGAATCCTAAATATATTATGAAAAAAAAAAAAAAAAAAAGACCACGTGGGTGGAAACCAGTTTTGCGCCGGGAAGTGTTGGGTTGTTGCTTTGTGGACAGGGTGGATTGAGAGCAAGAGGGAGCAGAAAGGCACATCCCTTAAGGTGCTTAACCTTCACCTGGAATGGGGGAGGAGATGGCCAGAAATCCAACCTGGAATGGTTCAGGCACTGCTGTGGATGAGGAGGGAGTGCCTGTCCACATCATCGCTTTGTGACTTCCCAAAAGTCCGAGCGGAGGAGGGGAGGGGGAGGCCGGAGAGGGAGCCGTGTTTTCCAGAATGAGAAACACAGGCTACTTGTTCAGTCAACTCAGTTTAGGTCAAACGTGGTTATGGAAAACAGATGATTGCTGGTGATCAGGCTGTACTTTGACAAATATCCCATTGTTTGAGCGTGCCGTGATTTCCTCGGAGCGTTTCCCGGTGCGGGTCCTCCGGCTCGGAGCCCTGTCAGTTGGCATGTGGGGCTGGGAGCTCCAAACCCAAGGGTTTGGCTCTGTGGGAGGGGTTTCTGCTCTTAAGGATTAAAATATGGGCTCTCAGAAAGGCTTGGAAGGATGTTTCCCATGTGCCCCTCGGATCCTGCGCTGCCGAGAGGAGGTGGATTTGAGGGATGCTGGAGCTGGAGAGAAGCTCCTTAACACGAGCCCTGTGTTGCTTTGAGTTATTGTAAATTCTTCCCTGGTTGCCCCTGGAAGATGCTCACCTGCAGATTTTATTTGCGGGGGGTTAAAAAAGCTAATTATTCCCCTTTCAGAGCCAGGGCTGGTGAAGCTGAGATTTGTGGGTGATCCCTGACTCTGGTTTTATGGGAGATGGGAAGGGTGGGAAGTGCCAAGGGAGTGTTTAATCATAAAATCGTGGAATGGTTTGGGCTGGAAGGAATCTTCAAGACCATCCCATCCCACCCCCTGCCATGGGCAGGGACACCTTCCACCAGCCCAGGTTGCTCCAACCTGGCCTTGGACACTTCCAGGGATCCAGGGGCAACCACAGCTTCTCTGCCCAACCTGGGCCAGGGCCTGCCCACCCTCCCAGCCAGCAATTTCTTCCCAATATCCCATCTCTCCCTGCCCTCTGGCCGTGGGAAGCCATTCCCTGTGTGCTGTCCCTCCATGCCTTGTCCCCAGTCCCTCTCCAGCTCTCCTGGAGCCCCTTTAGGCCCTGCCAGGGGCTCTCAGCTCTCCCTGGAGCCTTCTCTTCTCCAGGGGAACCCCCCCAGCTCTCCCAGCCTGGCTCCAGAGCAGAGGGGCTCCAGCCCTGGCAGCATCTCCGAGGCCTCCTCTGGACTCTCTGCAGCAGCTCCACGTCCTCTTGGGGCCCCTTTAGGTGTAGGAAGATGCTGTAAACCTTTTTAGGACCTTTATTCTAAAATCAGTATCCCTTTCTTCAGGAATCTCTTGGCTTCTGGGATCCAAGGGCCTGGCTGAGCTTGGATAATTGGGGGAACAAGCTTTTCTTTCACAGCACCATCTGAAAGGTTGAGTCCTCCCCAAAGAGCCCAGGAGCTCATTGATTCCAGGAGCTCATTGATTCCAGGAGCTCATTGCCCTTTCCCAAAGTTGGTTTATGCTCCAGTGTGGACCAGCTCATGTCCATTGGGATAGCTGGGAGAAGACTGGCTTGATCACTGTGTGAGCAGGTGGATCAGATGCTCAGGATGTGTGTGCAGGTGGCTGGGGAGTTAAAAGCAGAAATGAGGGTGATGCACAAAAACCCTTTTTGTGGCAGGAGCAGATCTTGGAGCAGTGACAGGAATTGCTCCGTTAGACATCGAGAAGAGCGGTGGAAGGGCTGGATCTGTGTAGGGTCCTGGTCACTGCCATAGCTTTTAGAAACATACACTGTTATTTGATGTATTTTGTCATCCAAAAACAAAATCAAAGCCATGAAAAAATTACGGAAAACCAGTTTACATTTGGCTTCTTATCGGTGTCACCCGCCCTGGGGGGGACGGGGACACGAACAGGCCTTGGATCTTCCCTTGCTCTGCTCCCACTCCGAGATAGATAAACTTTGGACTGTTAATCACGGGGGAAGATTTGTGCATGTTCTTTCCAGCCCTTTGGAGCAGCATTAGCTCCAAGGAGCTGGGAAAGCTCCAGCTGTCATCCCGGAGAAGTTTAATGTCCTTCTCGCCTTTTCCAGCTCGGCGCGCTCGGCGCTTCACTTCATTCATCAGCCGCGGCAGCGCCAGCTTTGCAGCCCTTCTGCTTCCCGGCCATTAGAAAGGAAAAGTTTTTAAGATCACACACAAAAAAGCCCCTGAGGGAAACGCTGTGAGGTATTTGAGCCTCTCTGTTCCTTCTGGGATGAAAATACCTCCTTTTCGAAACGCCGCGGATCGATCTGACGGATCCGAACGCGCCGCTTGAAAAGCTTGGCCACCAGCTCAGCGTTTGTGCAGCAAACCAGCAGCCCCTGACTGGGATGGTGGGATGGTAAATCACGTGCTGGATTAGGGCAGCAGTATAAGCTTCGTTTAATTTAAGCAAAAGCTGAGCAGAATAATGAAACAAGTGGTATCTGGGGAGCAAAGGCTCCACGCTCGCGCTCCCTCCGCTCGTTAGATGAGTCCAGCAGCTCCAGCCCGATGACTGAGCAGCAGCAAAGGCACTAAATTGTTCCTCCTGATAGTAAATAGAAAAGAAAACACATTTCTGGTCACCCTTGAAACCTCTG